ATACAGACCTTGTAAAGGGTACGCTTGTTTCGAAGGGACATTTTACTGTGTCGGCCCAACATACTGTTGAGCCTACTCAGATAAAATCGTGCGTGGCGGGTTACTCTTTTGACGTGGGGCTTGAAAGTGAGCCCTGTGTCTAGAGTGACACCTAAATATTTGGCGGACGTATGCCAGGGGACAGGGGTCCCTAGCATACGTATTGGTGGAGTGTCTTTGAGACGGCGTCGTTTATAATCGAAGTGAACGGCGGAGCTCTTCTCCGGGTTCACATCGATGCGCCATTTTTTGAACCAAGCTCCTAGGTCATCAACAGACTTTTGGATCTTGTTCCGTATGAAGGGTAGTGAGACACCTTTGCAGTAGATGGCAGTGTCGTCTGCGAAGAGGGAGAGTTGAATACCTTTGAACGGGATGGGAATGTCGTTGGTGAACAGGATGTACAGCAGAGGAGCAAGTACTGAGCCCTGAGGGACACCAGCCTTGATAGTTCGCTGTGAAGAAAGCGTGCCTTCGTGTCTAAAACGAAAGGTACGATGTTTTAAATAGGAGGCCACGAGACGAACTAGACGATCGGGGAGACCTATTTTATAGAGCTTGTAGATGAGGCCTGTGTGCCAGACTCTATCGAAAGCTTTAGCTATATCGAAAAAGACCGCGATGGTCTTATGACGACGAGGATAGAAACCGCTGAGGATATATTTCACAATGCGGTGGACTTGTTGGGCACATGAGTGTTTGGCTCGGAAACCGAATTGATGGGGAATGATAAGAGGGTCGCCGTCTGTGGGAAACAGATAGCGCCTCATACGAGTTTGGATGACTCTTTCGAAGAGCTTGCCCATTGCCTTGAGGAGGCTAATGGGGCGACGGCTGGAGGGGGAGGTTGAGAGGCTTGCCTGGCTTGGGAATTCCAATCACAGTTGCCTCTTTCCACGTAGTGGGAAAATAACTAAGGTTGAAGCAGGCGTTGAAGATAATAGATAAAAAGGTTAACACCTGCTCGGGAAAGTGTTTTAGGGCTTGGTTGGAGATGCCATCCGCGCCCGGAGCCTTTTTAGGCTTAAGTCCTTTGATGATGGATGAAATCTCATCATTGGACACAGAGATAGGTTCGGAGGCCGTAGGGGGGTGAGTTCCGGCGGCGGACCTCATCCTCCACTGCCTGGACGTGTGAGGGATCGACGGGTTGAGAACTAGGAGAGCATTGAGCGGCAATGCTATCTGCAAAGCACTCAGCCTTTTCCTCGTCCTCGAAGGCAACCGTGCCGTCGGGACGGGAGAGAGGGGGGAGTGTGTGTGATAGCGTCTATGCGAAGGGCTCTAGCCATCTGATAGTACGCTGTGTGAGATATTCTCCATGAGCTTACTCTTTTCGAGATCTTGAAATTCAGAGAGGCGGAAGCGGAGTTTTCGTTGAAGACGATTGGCCGCGCGCCTATATTCGGGGGGTGGGATATTTTGCTGCTCTCCGGAAAGCAGCTTTTTTGGCTTTTAATAGGTTGCTAATATGTAGGGGAAGCCCACTATTGTTAGCAACCGGGATGACCCTTTCGTTCTCCATAAGGGAGGATTTAATAAGGGTGGAGAGTGAATCGACCGCGGTGTCGATTTTTTCGGGACTGTCTAAGTCCGACGGTATGGGGATGGTAGAATCCTGTGAGTCCAGAGCTTTAGCTAGGGACTCCTTGAATCCCTTCCAGTTAGTGAAGGTTTTCGTGTGTGTTGGGGGAGGTGGCTGATGGCCAAGAATGAGGGAGACCGGTCGGTGATCTGATCCTAGATCGTCTAGTGTCTCGATTGCTCTGAGGTTGAGAGAAACTCCTTGGAGTAACGCAAAATCTAACACATCGGGTGCGTGATCGGTGTTATCGGGAAAGTGAGTAACACCGAGAGGACTATGGACGGTAATATCAAGAGACTGCGTGATATCGAGCAGTATCTTGCCACTAGGGGACGTAGTGCGGCATGTCCATTCAGTATGCTTGGAGTTAAAATCTCCAAACATAATGACTGAATTGCCCAAGGATAAAATGGCCTCAAAATCTTTTTTGAGGGGATAGGTTCCTGAAGGGATGTAACAGGAGGCTATGAGGATGGACTGATGTCCAGCCATAGCTAGCCTGCATACCGTGGCTTCCATGTTGGTAAGCTGCGGAGTAGAAATGGGCGAGCAATGAAGTGTTTTCTTGTAATAGATGGCCGTTCCGCCGCCTCGGCGGTCGGGTCTGTCATTACGAAGAAGACTAAAAGTAGTTTTAATCAACGTGTATTTATATGAAAAATAGTGTCAGGAAAAATTTGAACTGGATACTAGCAAAAATAATAGAATTTCGCCATCAGTAAGTGATATAACTGTCGTTATTTCCTTTTACAGTTCATTGCTGTTAAAGAAGCATACCCTAGACAAGCTTAGTGATGTGAAGGAAATGCGTTCAATTTAGCATTATCTCGGAGAATTAACTGCCCTGGTCTCGTCCGCTTGTTACACTGACTGAATTATATACAATGCCACCGCTACGAGGGAAGCGATTTGAAAATTGCGTAATAAACGTAACAAGTAAACGGTACCTTTATAGTTCTAAATAAAAAAATGTTGTGGAGTTAATTTGGTCTATTCTCACCTTCAATTAACAATGTGGTCAATAATTGTGAGTTTTTTTTGTCTCAAATGAACTACAGAATAGATTTATATGAACACTTAATAAGATATTCATGACGTATTAGGCACATAGGTACATACACAAATCAAAAGGTGGAGATATTATATTCAAATCTGAACTTTGACAAATACCAGACATCTAATATAAATATAAGAAATATTTAGTTTAAAATTTAATGAATTCTGTCAAAAATCTGGACTTCCAAAAAATCGAGATTATGAATACAGTCTGAGAATCCATTCCTCGCTTAAATAAGTTATACTAGTTTTTAGGGATTTTATCGCGTATGACTTTTTTATACCTATACCTATACCCGACGTTTCGAGCACTTTACAGCACCCATGTTCACGGGGGTATGAGATGTTCAACGTCCCGATGTTATAGTCAACTGCGGTTACCATAGATTAAAATGAATAATTTTTGTTCCGATCTACGCAATATGAACTTATAGTATCTTGAAGTTTTGCAGTTGTATGCTTGGGTTGGGATTTAATTTTATTAATTATAGGAACCCAAACAGATAGTAGCACCCAGCCATCTTCACACTATAAGGATGCTTTTGATTCAAAAGCCTCGCGAATCATCCTTTGAAGGAATCGGTGTTCTTTAGCGAGGATTTGCGGTCTATCAAATCTGATGTAGTGACGGGGGTGATCCTGTACGTGTACAGACTAGTATTATTTAAATGTGTCGTGTTCGCGTATATATTAAGAAAACATCAAATAAGTTATGATTAAAAGCAATTTAAACCGTAAAATAAGTTTTAATCTATACTTAAAGTTGCTAAAATTTTTTTATTCACTAAGTGTATCGGCTATCCTAAATCAAAATACTAAAACAACGTACGGATCAGAATATTTATAAAGGAGATCATAAAACTTATTTTTCAAGCAAGCAAAACTGTCCCATATCATAGATAAGTTTATTGCTACGTTATGCACATAATATGCTCAAAGTTTTATTAATGCTACTAATGTAAAAAAAAATTTAACTTTAAAAAACCATATAAAAGACTAAAAAAATTGTTGTTACAATAAAGGCTATTCAATAAACCATGGTTTAAAATTATAATGATGTTTAATTATGATTAGACACAAAATGAAATTTAATAATTAGTCCATCAATCTATATCATCATTATAGTCACGTCTTGGTAAAATTTTTTATTATTAATAGTGAACAGCTAAACATCAATGGCGAGTACATCACGCACCTTCGATTTGTCGACGTTATAGTCCTTATGGCAGAATCGCTGGAGGACCTAAGCATTATGCTCAATGACCTCAATGGTGTCTCCCAACAGATAGGTCTTAAGATGAACATGGACAAAACAAAGATCATGTTTAATGTCCATGTCACACCTATGCCGGTATTTGTTGGGACCACTATGCTCGAAATTGTTGACGAGCACGTTTACCTAGTACAAATAGTACGACTGGGTAAGTCCAACTTCAACCGAGAGATCAATCGACGAATTAAACTCTGCTGGGCAGCGTTCGGGAAATTACGACACATCATCTCGTCAGGTATACCTCAAACTCTGAAAACTAGACAACCAGTGCGTGTTGCCAGTGATGACTTACGGATCTGAGACGTAGTCGTTCACTGCTGGCCGTGTAAGGAAGCTCAAGGTCGCTCAACGAGCTATGGAGAGGGCTATGCTCGGAGTTTCTCTGCGTATAGACTCAGAAATGAGCATTTCCGCAGTAAAACCAGAGTAACCTACATAGCTCAACGGATTAGTAAGCGGAAGTGGCAATGGGCCGGCCATATAGCTCGAAGAACCGACAACCGATGGGGAAAAAAGGTTCTCAAGTGGCAGCCAACCAATAAAACCATACTCAAAAACCATCAAATTGTGATTTTGCACAAATCTTGGCTTAAGCTGGGTGTTGAATCCGCAAGGTGTTAATGAATTATTTTGGTAGTTTGCTTAGTATAAATATAGAGCCACTTAAAAACTTAGAATAGACGTATATGATGCTTACTTTCATAATACGTTGGTGAACCGAGCTCAATCCTCGCTGATTCTAAAGAAATTGTTAATAGCAATTTGTACCTAATGTAATTTAATTCGTCTTTAACGTTGAAGGAAATAGTTGTGAAAAAACTTGCACAAAATTAAAATTTCCGAGGACATATTGCGTACATGTTTGGAAAAAATCAACTCCGTTCATTATGTCCCGTGTTCCATTAGTGGGAAGTATGTACACTGTTACTTTAAGTTTTTAGTGTGTAATGAACACCATTACAACGCTTACCTATATAAAAAAGCGTTATAACGCTTATCTGTAATTTTTTTTACACTAACCTAACCTAAATAAGGGAATTGTTTCAGTGGGTGCGACGATGTGCAGCGCTCGCTGGAGTTGCTGGACCAGGTGCTGAGTGAATACGACGAGGGTGAGCCGCGTTCGTTGGAGGCAGCCCGCGTGGCAGCCACGCCGGCGACGCCTGCCACTCCCGCCACGCCGGCCACTCCTGCCACTGACGACGATTCACCGCTCGCCGGACACACCTCAGAAGACGATGGATACATGAGCATGAACGGAAGAAGGTTAGAATATACCTTTTATTATTTTTACTCCTTAAGACATTTTAATAAAAATGTGACATACTACTCGTAGATAACTGTTCATTATAGTTAGTAGCCACTTGGATCCATAGACGATTAAATCAACTTCAAATAATGAAGAAAACAACGTAGTTATTCCATTTTGGAGAAGTAATGTGGAATGTCTAATGACTTGTATTTTATAATACACATGCACTTCTGCTTGACAGTAAAATGTAAATTAAGATTTAAGTAAAAGATGGTTTCTATAAAACCAGTTACCAGCTATTGACTAGGTAATGCAATAGCTTAGGATATGGCTGCGGTGCTGCAGGCCACACTTGCAATTCCTTTACATATAAATGGTTAACCAAATTCCGATCACGGCGGGTGTCTTGTCGGAAACTAGCTATCTGCGCAGGACAGAATTATAGTGCACGGTTGTGTTAGTCTGCACAGTTCACTGTGCAGATTAACACTATTCCCTCACACTTATAGTCCGATTGGACGGCTATTCAAAAGAACAGGAAAAGATCAGGTGCAAGACCAACGGTTTCACCTAATCACCGAACCACCCTAACTTACTTTAGATTTACGTGACTCGATACATAGCGGTGGTGGCTCAACTGGGAGGGACCAACCTCTCACAGATTACCAGCGTTAAATAGCAACTTAATGCTGCTATGTTTCTTATGGTGATTTTAGAGAACCGGAGACCCTTTTTACTAAAAATGAGGCTTTTTATCTTAGTCCTTAGGGGTGACAACGCATCTGCATTTTGACTCTTATTTGAGTATAAATGTAGATGTCTATAGACCACAGCATCCACTTACCATCAGGTGGATTGTCCGCTCGCTTGTGACCCTTATTCTATAAAATAAACTCTGGCTTCGATCTGTTTTTGAGAATTACTTGACATAAAAACCCGGAACTACATGATCAACAGTCGCGCTTACGATCACTAGACCAAGAAGTATTTGAATGACTTTCAAATATTATGTGTACTGGGTCTGGGTATTTGTTAACATGCCGTATAGTGGCGGCGTAGGGGAATCCGTTACACCATATTAACTCGTGGCTGTCGTAAGTGGCGACAGAGAGTATTAAAACAGAAGATGGGCGGCTGCATTTTACCAATTACTACTCAAAATATAGAAAACTGAGCTTACTGACCCGCCTGTCAAGCATGGCAACAATGACAAATATGAGTGAGGGCAATCTATAAGATAACCTTATCAGTACTATTACCTTATTACAAGAAGTCCTCAATTTTTGCCATTCTTAATAGAATCAGGCGTCATTTTGCCGAAATCCATTATATTAAAGTTGTTAAGAATTAATTCGCACACATCCGCTCAATAAAATAAAATGATGTGTCTTACCTAGTTTGAAGAGCACCTCCCGCCCTCCCTCAATTGCTCCCTCAACCACTGTGACGGGATTAGTGCACGATCCCAAATTTGGGATTAGTAGTTCCAAATTTTGGATTTGGATTTGAATTAATTCTTAACAACTTAAATTTTTTGTCATTCTGTCTTTGCATATTGTCCGTCTGTCTATGTATGGAGATGACCTTTGTTTAGCACTGGGCTATTTATCGGTTGTAGTAAATGAATGGATGAAATGCAAGCATTTTTATTTATCATAGGTGCTATAGATCAACGGATACATACCGATACGTGCCGAAAATAAAAAAGCACGTCCCTATGTGTAAAATTGGGGATAAAAATATCGGGTAAATATATTTTGTAGAAAGATCTTACATTGCAAATTCCGCTACGAGCAAACAATATCAGAATGTAACACGAATAAATCATATCAAAATAAAACTTTACGCTTGTCAGTATCACGCATGGTTCATCGTAAATCTATCCTCTTGTGAGATATAAACTGAAGCGAACAGTGAAATGCGATACGTAAGCTATAAAGTAAAGTTCCTTTTGCAATCTTGGCTGAATTTTTATGAACATCTAAAAAAGGATTATAATCTGAATATCAATATAAAAATATATTTACTACAAATAAAATAAACAGACATTAAATTAAATAAACCGACGGGGAAGAAAGGTTCTCGAGTGTCAGCCTCGTTCAGAAAAGCGCAGTGTTTTGGCGCCCTCATTCTGGATAGAGTGATAACCTGACGAAATATCTAAATACTTCGTCAATGGACGCATTTAGCTCTGGACTATAATTTTTGGCAATCTATTATGAAGGCCTACGTTCAGCAGTCGAATTGTGATGGGGTTTGATAATGATGATGATGACAAAACTAAAACAACTACGGTTATGTAAAATGTAGCCTTATCAAAAAAATATTTGTTATAAAGAAGTAGCGTAAATATCGCATCTTCCTTGATCTTCATTTTCTTAACATCCTGCATTGTCTATAGGGAGAATAATTAATATTTTCAATGACAGTCTCTTGTTCTATATCAAAACACTACACCACACCACACTACGGGTTGACTGGCAGAAAATGCCGAGAGGCATTAAGTCCGTCCATTGTTACCTTAGTTATAGGTGTAACAATTAAGAATAAATAAATAAATTAAAAAAACACAAAATTTTAAAAACAGTTAAGGCTAATAGACATGATGCTATATTCGAACCGTCTTGGTGTAAACTTTCGTTCGCATGGCAGCGTAATACTCTGCATATTCATATTAACTTATATGGACCAACTTATTTTGTTCGGACATTTTCTAGTAATTTTCTTGTTCAGTATCGAACCTATATAAGGTGAATTGACTTTTAAATAGCAAGGTTTAATAAAATTATTAATTCTAATTTCAGAGCGAAATTCGCGCTAGGCTTCCACCCGACGGAGGAACGTGAAGAACCTTCGCCCCCGGAACCAACTTCGCCTCATTCGCCGCCGCCGCCTGAAGAGGCACAGCGAATAATTTCTACATTGTTACCGAAGTATATATATTACTTATATATTAACTCTTATATATCCCTGCTAAATACACATCCCAAATACACGAACTCATCCATTTGCTCAATCAACTCCCCTTCTATTCTTATTTCACATAGCGTTTTACTTTCTTCTCTTTCAAAAACCGTCTCTTTTGTTTTACTTGTATTGAATTTTGATAATGAATTGAGAAATATTTATGCGAACAACACGAACAGCGAATACATCGAATAAAATTAATTTTACCGGCTTTATCGCGTGTAAGTTTATTTTTTTTAATTCCCGACGTTTCATGTACTTTCCACAACCCATTGCCTCGGGGGGACTTAGATAACACCATAGTCAAACAGAATAATCATCTCTTTAAAAACATTGAGAAAATGTTTAAAAACAAACCAACAATTTACGCCGATGATATAAATGTATTACTTTTTATAATTGTAAAATTGAGATTCGCAAGTAATAATTTGTCCAAGTTCAAATATGTATGTGTCAGCCAACTAGTTGAATTAGCCGTTCCATTAACGGCCTGGCCTTTTTACGTTCAACTAGCGGCCTGAATGTTATTCAGCCGATGCGTCAAATACAATATTGCAACTATTGTAATATCGGCCACAGTAGGTGAGGATGCGGCTGGGATTGCCCTTGGGCCACCAAGCCGCATATATTTATATATCATAGCACATAGTGCATATTAAAGATAACGAAACGCATCGACTAGATTCAGGCGATTAGTTAAACATAAAAAAGCTAGGCTGTTAATTTGGCGGCTATTTAAGCTAGTCGGCTGCATATTATACATATACAGTAATCTACAACACGGACAACACGGACCGCCGACGTGATTCAGACCACTGCAATGCAGTGTCAAATTTGCGGAACCTTCTATAACTGCGATTGTCAATTCGCGAATTCTCACGACTATTATCTACTGTCAAGTGTTTCTGTGTTTAGAAAGAGAAGTGGGGTAAATCTTTAAGTAGGGTAATTATGGGAGTCACTTAAACGTTATTATTCCTAATGCGATAATATCCATATTGTCCCTTACAACTCACAAGGAATCTAGATTAAGCAAGCACATAAGTTTCCTTTGTAAACAATTTTGTCGCATTGGCAGTCTCCAATTTGTGGCATGTGTAAAAAATTTTAGCATTTTAACCAAATCGACAAATGGACAAATGACGTATTTTGTGGTTCACCAATCCACACGAGACTGCTTTTAGCTTTCGGAGAGCAAACCTAGGGATCCATCGACAACAAAGCTTCCTCACTCTAAGATGTTAATGTAGGATAGTATGAATGCTCCCCGAACTAATGCCTACAGTCTTTTCGATGTCCGTATATGTGATTCTTGTCCATACATTTTCTGCCGTTACTGATATTTGCGGGGCCCCGGTTCTTTGGTCATCTTTAAGGTTAGTTTTACCCCTTTTGAATTCAGCAAACCACCTAAAAATTGTTGCGCGTGATGTAGTTGAGTCCCCTGAAAGCTGAATGTAACGTTTGTAAACTTAATTGTTTGGTTAAACCAAATTTAAAATCATAATAGATCATAGCGCGCAAATGATCGCGGTTAAGATCCATCGTTTTAAATGAAAAGCACGGAAAGCGTTGCAGGAAAATTAATAGAACTTTGTATTTTTTTTAATATTGATCAATTTAAAAAAAATAATATTAACAATGCTATAAACATTACTAATATTCCCCTTAACCACTCGTGGTAAGCTTAAATTGCTTGTGTTACGAGTGGTTGACACCAGTAGTCGAATGGTGGATTCGAACCCACGACCTTTTTGAGTTCGCGGTCCGCGCCCTGCCATTAGGCTACTGTCGCTATAATTGGCTTATGGAGTTCTATTTTTATATAATTAATTTGCTTTTTAGAAACATATAACACGGATGCGTTCCATTTTTAAATTTCGAGCATCTCAATACTTATTGAGTGACCTACGTATCACAAATAATCTAAAAAATAATTCTTTAACTTTATTTTAATTGACTGTCCTTTTTTAATCCATCAAATACTTTGAATTTAAAAAGAGGTAAGTCAAAACTACTAAAATTAATTCTAATTTTTATTGTGATTGCCGTCTCTAATTCTTATTTCGAATGCAAATTTCGGTTTGGCAACGCCGCAACATGTGTGTGAAAGGGAAGGGTAGAGTGAGCGTAAATACAGTAATACCTAATGTATTGTTTCGTACCGAGCTCGATAATAAGATTTCAGCGTCCGCGCGTTTTTTAACCCTTTATCAGCTGATTTCAGGTATTTAAGTTTCTCTACTAGTTTTATGTTTAGGTATTTTCATGATTTTTTTATGAAATTATGGTTTCATTTAGTCGTCCTAACATGATAGAGCGTGAATAAATCTAATTAAATGTTGTAAAAAAATTTTTTTTTCATCGGGATCGATGGATCGATTTTGTTTTTGTCTCATCATCAAAGGTATCCTTAGTACTAATTTCTGTCTTCGTTTTCGGGAGTGTTTCACAAATTCCGGTATATATAAACATAGAATACTATAATACATAATAGAATGGCTGTCAACCTTATTTCGTACGAGGATAGGTATCGCCGGAAGCACACATACAAGCAATTACGTGGTATTGTTACTACTAACGACCCGATTCGCTGTGTTGACAGACAGATTTTAATACATATTTATTTGTAAATAGCGTGCAATTTGGCATTTTCTAAATAATGTGCATGCAAAATTTGTAAACGATTGTAACGTCAAAACACATCTCGTGTTGACTGACATTTATACGTGTTAGTGCATTTTAGTGGCTACACGAGCTCCGCCCACTCCCCCGTTCTATTATGTATGTATTATAGTATTCTATGTATATAAATTACTATTTACTTATTTTTATAATTAGCATTAATGTACAGAAAAATAAAACGTACTGACCTGTTGTTAGGGTCGACGCATAGAGCAACACGGGCCACCGGCAAAATTTAAAATATTCATTAATTAACGACAGATTTACAAAATATTTAACAGTGTATAAATCGCCTTTAAGTGTTAAAATACCTGTACTAGCAGACCTGCCCTTTCTTATTTCTCATACATAATCTAGAAAGAAAATCTACGGGATTAGTATCTAATTGTGAGTATGTGATGCCCAGTACCGTCTTTACGATAAGGGCACACGGGGACCGTGCCCAGCATCATCACGGCCCCCCGTGACAAAAGCCACCGGTCCTATTTGCTTACGCTATACGATCCTTTTTCTACTTTAGGAGAATATAACACGATAAAAAAATGAGTAAATGAGGGCGTTGTTGGTGACTTTCTGGCAATCGTAAGCAGTGACAAGCCACACTGCCGGAAAAAGTGGCATTGACAGATTTCCTAGGTAGAAAATATGTAGTTCCGCGTTTAACCATCTAAACGTTTTTGTCGGGAGCTGTACAGTCACCTTACTTACAGCCTGGATTTTTTAAAATTTTCAACAAATTATGTATATATATGAGATAATTTTTTTTTATTTTACACTTTATAAATACAAGCAAAGTAAATAAGTAAAATATCATTTTGTACCAATGATTTCTACGCTAGTAACATATAAGTCAATGTTTCGTACTATTTAATAAAAATAACACTTCAAAAGATTTAACCATAAATATGTTATTGCAGATTTTATAGCAAATAATTGTTACGATCCTTATTTTTAGATAAGTAAAGCCTAAATTTTAATGTAATAAATAAAAAGAATACACGTATTGATGTTGTCGTAGAATATTTTCTTTTTTTGAAAAAAAGTTTAGGAAAGAAACATTAAAGTTTACATTTTCCTAACAAAATATCGTCTCCGCTGCGAAATCTGTCAAATATTTTAGCTCATTAAAAGTGGCGCCCCCCTGGTGGCAGAAAGAGTGGTGCCCTCATTAATGACATATTATTTGATTTTTACCAATTAACTATAATAAATATAAGATCATAGCAGAAAATTTTTTGTCATTCACTTTTTTTTCTTTCCAACAAGGCCCGAAATTCTTGTGTGCCAAACGTCCCCGGTATGGCCTAAGACGGCGTTGGTGATGCCCAGTTATAATTCAATATATATATAAAAGTATACTCGTATTTGTTTCCATTTGCTGTAGAGATTATGGATCCGTTGGTTCGCGTCGGGTCCTAAAGGAACTCTATTCGCGAAAGGCGTCTAATGTACAAGTATGAGACGATGCTCATGACTTAAGTTTTGAAATTTATCACACGAAGTAAAACATCTGAAAGTTTACGTGAAATAATATTGAAATCTTTACAAGTACACATGTAACGCATGCGTAAGCATTTGGTTGTGAAAGAAACGAGAGATATGTCAGTATCCTGCTAAATAAAAGTCCGTAGTCCGTAGTAAAAGTAGTAGTGAAAATTTATATATATATATATATATATATATATATATATATATATATATATATATATAAATTTTAATTAACCCCTGGTAACTAGTATATATATATATATTACCAGGCAGATGTTGTTCTGCCCTTTTCGACGACCCTTTGTCATGTCCTACTAAAATAATTAAATTCGCAAAAAAAAATTGTTGGTCACTCATGCGCAAAAAACTATCCTATCTCTCAAGTTGGACCAAACTGCACACCGTATGTAAATTTTATAAAATCAGTACTTTAGAGTACATCGCGAAATATATATATATATATATATATATATATATATATATATATATATATATATATATATATATTAGGATGGCCCGATATTATATAAATTCTCACGCCTATCACCCAGAGGGGTAGGCAGAAACTACAGACTTCCCTTTGGCATGATCTTGACACACCTCTCGCCTCCTCCAAATCCATATATCAACGCATACATGCTCGTCTGTTAAGGGTACTCTTTATTTGGCCCGTTTTCAATATATCGCCAATTTGATCGATAAACTTTCGCCTAGTACGTCCCTTTCCGACTGTGCCGTTCACATCTGCAACATAAATTTGCTTTGTCACTCTTAGACTCTAGTAGACCAACCCCAGGCCTAGGACTGTATGATAATTTAAGATCAATATTAAAATTCTAAACATATAGTTCAGTAACAAAGTGAAAAATGTAACATATTTATCTTACATAATTTAAAGAACGTAAATTCCTATAGCTATAATATCAAGAAATACAATTGAATTTGGCACCCGTTCAGATCTCAACTCTTTTAGCGGAGAAGATGGCAACCCCCAACGTCGTTTGTATTGAAGTTGGCCTCTTTATCGCATTAAAATTTATGGTTGGAGTTTTTCTATATATACATCTAATGAATTTTTTTACCTTCATTCCAAATGCGAAAGAAGCTCCAATTGCTTCGTGTTATTGTACACAGTCAGTGCGTTGCTCTTTTCTGCTCTTTTCTACTTTACTTTGCTTTTCTACTCTACTTACTTTACTACCGTATGTCTTATTTCTTTGACATTTACCGAAGGCTTAATCTTTATTTATGCAATCACACCATCACAATTATTTGCAAACAAGTAAATTCATAATTTTCGCAGTAATTAGTGAAATAATGTTCTTATTAATATAATTACAAAATAAATAATAATTTTAGCACATGGTAGCACCACAGTTCAAAGAGTTAACAGTTGTGAAACGCCTTTGGCACGGTAATTATAATATTACCGTACCTTTGGTGTCAGGCGATGCTGCCGCCCGCGTAGTTATTTACTATTTAGGCCATCGTCGCAAATGTGCTAAGGATTGTCATGAAATTGGGAATAAAATAATTTTTAATATTATAATACTCAGTTTTATACCATTTCTAAGTTTTCGTATATTTTCGTATAGTGTACTCGCATTCTGATATAAAAAAGTTATCCAAAAGTCGGGTTTTAATTCAAGTTTACTTAGTAACTCATATTACTATAATAGTAATTCAGCATTATAGATATTATATTTTTGGAAAACTTCACTCAAAATTAGTTTAAAACACTTTTCGCATCAACCGCATGTATTGTAGACTGTCGCGCCGCCCACTGCCTCGCAAGGCCCCCGTCGTTGCTCTGCACAAGTACATTAATTTCACAATTTTTTGACTAACTTTAAACTGTGGTAACACAAACCTATCTTCATTTTTGAAGTTAATAGCCTCACGTATCATTCTTTGTAGAAATCAATGTTTGATTTTTTTGCGAGAATTGTGGTTAATCAAATGTGATTGTAATGGTCGGGACGATGATAAACATGTTAACAGTACTTTTATTCCGTTTTATATAGATATTATTTTGTTTTCAGAGTTTCGCCAGCAAATTCTGGGAAGCGCACCATTTCAGTCGAGCAAACCGAAACTACTGAAAGGCTGGATTCCATTATTAGTGTTAATGGAATTACAACTGCTACTCAGACCACATTCGTAAGTTAATAACTCAAAAAATTTACATAAATATTTTTATATTCCTTATAATTTTTTTCCATCCTTAAAATAATCACGATGAAAATCTAAATCTAAAAATATTAAATCGAAATAAATAACTGCTATAATCCCATTGCACATACTACATAATATATATCCTGAATTTCGATTTTTATTGATAAACAAAAGATTTCGGAATCAATCAGCCTATCGATATATAATCGAAGTGGCGTCTACGAGTACATAGCTTCTAATTGCGAAAACATCGGCAAAGAACAATCCGTGAAAGAGAAAAAACAGCTGTTTTGTGTAATCGTTCACACAAAACTTACATAAATAGGTCAATCATATGAAATACTGTAAAAGATTTTCCTTTGAGGCAATCTATGGGACAGGCCTATGTTCATCAGTTAACTATTGACGGAATGTATTGAATGAATAAATGAATGAATGAATATCAAATAATTATACAAAGGTTATATTACATTTAAAGTCCTGCCTAGCGGATGTTTATAACAATGTCAACAACAATTAATCTTCCCGTTCATATACATAAATTATATGTAAATGTTAAACTGTATTATTAATTCATTGCAGCCGAAAACCAAACACCAGCGACCTTACGGTTGGGAGAAAGATAATATTGAAACGAACGGCTTTCAACTACAACCAGCCCCAGTGCCTCCGTACAAATTTGCTTCACTCCAACATGGTGTGCACCCTCCACATGCTGACACAACGTCAGCATGGCTACCACCACGGCAAGCGGCCCCACCTATCACACAAATAAAATCACCTAGCTTTGAGAACCCTCCAGTATTCCCGTTCATGGGTTTCTCAAGCGATTTCAATGACAAGCCTTACAATGAACATCCCGTTACAATTTATCCGGGACCGAACCTCCAGTTTAACAGACAGTCACATTCACCAACATACAATATCCAAAAAATTTCACCATCGAATAATAAAAATTTAGAGAGAAAGGGCTACGTAAAACGTGATAGCAGATCCGATGGTGAAATGTTGTCACCCAGGGGTAAAGTACCTCCGCGGACTCTCGCCGGTTCTATGGAGAGGCATAGAGAAGTGTGTAGAGGTTCTTCGGAGGACGTAATGGATGGGCAGAAAACGAGACGTTCGAGTAGGTGCAACGATGATGATCATTTCTCAGATGATTCTTTAGAAGAGTCGTTCCCACCGCCGCCGCCCGCTGCCACCACGCCTTCGAAACGCAATTCTATAGCATGGGAAGTATCCCTCGATGGTGATGATCCTCTACTTACTCCCGGAAGCACAAAGGTAATACATTTCATTTTTGTATTTAAGTAACTCGAACAGAAACTTTTTTATTCAATATAGACTATTAATTCATAATTAAAGTTACTCTTTTGTTTAATTACCACTAGCTCAAAAAAACCTTTGTCCCGGGAAGATCCAGCAATAAACCCAGTGGGACTTTAAAAAAAAAATAAAAGCTTACAATCATGTTTGTTACACAATTAATCAACACAAAACAAATTTGAAATAGCTTGGTAGCGATCACCTTTCACATGGGTTATTTTCATCCATAACCTCTCAATCCCCTAGCGGTCTCACGAGACCGCGGCAATATAAACTTCTTCATAGAAACGTAGTCTCTAAATATATGTTTTAATGGTTTTAAGTGCTGTGGGTGGGTGCGGTCGTTTGCGACCGCTCGGGATTTGCCGGGCGCATGCGACTTCATGGGATTTTTATTGCGATTGAAGGGATAAATTCCATAATATTACTTAACACACTTTAGTGATATAAAACTTAAATAAATAATAACTTAAAACCTTTTCTTTTTGCTTTCTCTTTAATAAAGTATTTTAGTGTGAATCTTCACGAGGATAAATGAATAATATTTACTACATTCCTATAAAGATTTCGAGGTCTTTATATGACAAGAAGTCTTCACTGAATTCTCGTGAATTTACAATTTACAAAGTGCAATTTTATTACTGTATTATACGTATGATAATGTAAGCAGATAAATTTTTTTTGTTATTATTATATTCTTATATAGGGTTATTTTTCAAAGAGTAGCCAAATTTTAAACTTAAGTTTAAATATATACATAATAATTATTGCTATAACAGTTATTACTTTTTAAAAATACGATTAAATAAGGTTTCTACTTTTATTTGAAATTATGCCACATTGAATGTGATTTATGGACTACTTTTTTGCCTACTTATTGACTCTTACAAGATAAAGGACAGAATGTTTGAGATTTTTTAATTAATTTTTCTTCAACATTTTCCTAAATTAGTTATTTTTAAGCTTCTCTGCAAATTTCAGCGGTTATTGCAAAGTAACCCTGTATCTGCTTCATTTTATTCAATTAGACAATTATTATAGTTGCAATAAAAAATGAAATAAAATATTTTCAAAAAATCTTTGAAAATACCTCGTATATCATATAGAATTCCTTATGATTACAGGTAATAGGACGAAGAAGAAGAAAATCAGGCGATCAATCACATTCAAGTACAAACTCTATACCGCAACGACTAGATGACGATTGGGGCGAAGAATACTGGCCTCCACCTCCTCCGATAGCACAATGCGATCCTTTAGCGTCACCAACATCTGACGTAGAGCATGACAATAAACGCGATCTGGCATGTGGCACCTACGTTATTAGGAAAGGCAAAAACAGAAAACATTTACCAACTTTCAACAAAACCAATAGTAGTAAAACGTCAAACGCGAACAACCTAATTCAAACTCACAGCTTGAACAGAAGCACGGACAAATCAATAGACGGATCAAGTGTATCAATAAGTGGTTCTGGATCTGTCAGTTCATACAACTCTAGACCTAGCTCAGACTTGAGTTTACCACAATCAAGATACAGTGTTGACCTTAACTCACGTCTAAGTCGCGAACTCAATACTCCTAACTCGAGATACAGCATAGATCTTTGCACGCCTAATTCTAGAATTAGCAAAGAAATTAATTCACCAAAATCCAGGCTTAGTTTAGATCTCAACAACGGTCAAGATAGATATATTAACCCAGAATATTTTGGTCACAGTCCAAAAAGCAGAAACGTCACCGGAGACAAATGTGTAACACCCAAAAGTAACATAGTGCAAAGTAAACTATCTCCGCAAAACAGATTTACGGATTTCAAAAAGTATTCTTCAACATTTGATAATATACAATCTTTAATCAAAGAAGGTAAAGTTGAAGAAGCTCCACAAATAGAATGCAATGAAACGGTAAATGAACTAACTACTGTTCCTCCTAATATGGTTAGAGTGATATCGTTACCTAGTCTCGGTGAGAGTGACGGCAACAGTGCTAGTAGGCAAGCACTTATTACGACAGTTGAGGAAGAAGAAGATCCGGAAAGTGGTGAAAGAGGCTCCAGTGGCGAAACTTCACCATTACGTAAAATTGAAAATAACATAAGCGCTATATTAAGCCAGAGTCGGGACCAAAAACTTTTTACGCCATACATACCTAAAGACTGGAATATACATAAGGATGAATACTGTGATGACGTATCTAAGGAAATAGAAACAAATTACCGTTATAGCTCTAGGGACAAACATAGGAGACATGATATCCAGAAATCATCAAGTCATAACGAGATACAAAGTCAAAGATCTATTGATCGTCGAGACCGTTCTTCAGGCAGACGATCAAACAGTATGCACAAGTCGACTAGTGCGAAAGACATGCCAGTTAGCTTAGTTCGGCAGCCATCCTCCTCGGATTCAGCTGTTTCCAGCGGAGGAGATTTTCCGTTGAATGTTCAAATAGTAGAGCATCCGTATAGATCTCCATTGCCTCCTTCACCAAGTATAGGTCACGAAAAAGGGCCGCTTCCACAAACGCCAGAATCACCTATATTCCCACCTCTACCACCCTCACCAGTTCAAGAAGTTGACGACGAGTATACAGAAATAATGCAACCTACGGAAAAACGCCACATCAAAAAGGCGGACACTTTACCAACTCCAACTATGGAATTAAGAAGAAGGTAATTCGATAATTCTTTTACTATTAAACAACACACAGGGCATTATAAATATTAATTATTTCACCACTACTATCAAAAAAGTTTTTTTAGGTACACTAACTACACACGGGGGTTACAGTTTTAAGTCTTTTCCGTAAAGTGTATTAACTCACCTCACTTCAAAGGTTTATCTATACTCACCACACTCGGCAAACAGAATAGCGAAGACAGAGCACTTGCACTAATAATACGACTGCCCATCACCAGTCAGTGAAATTTGGTCTCACTATGTTGTGTAGGTCACGAGAACTTTTTTCGCTAATCAACAGGTTGCACCCCCTAGCGTTTTTTTTTCTCTTTTCACCTATATTACTTATCAGCGCTATAATATAATAACCTAAATTCTACATCTTACTTGCTGTGCCTGGCATGTGTCGTAATGGCTTTTTGAAAACATTCGCATGCACACCAACTCACCGAAGTTTTGTAGTAATCGCATAAATGGTATATGAACGCATACAAAACGGACAAACGAACAATTATTCATTACTAGCGATCCGCCCCGGCTTCGCACCGGTGATTTCTGGATCTCGACAACAGCGCCACCTAATGGACAGAAATTGATTTTTATGTATAGAGATTTATCTGAAACCATCGCTGGCGTACACATAAGAACTCACCAACGTTTCATCGTAATCGGGTAAATGGTATAGAAACTCATACGGAACTAAGAACTTTTATATTATAATCTATACATATAGGGGATAGGGTGGCAAGATGGGGTACTTAAGCTTTAAAGGTCAATAATATAAAAAATTAAGTAGTGAAACAATCATATTTATTTTTTAATTAACAACCAATTATTATGATTCTAATATTTGTTGTCATTAGGAACTTTTGGTAACTATAACACATTTAAGAGAATATTTGCTGGAATCACTACGCTCGAAGTTGATGACGGGTATTTTTACTTAGTAAAAACTGTCCAACTAGGCTTACCTAGTTGGACTTATCCATTGGACTTATCATTACACAAAGAGGTCAATCGACGGATCTGATTCGGTAGAGCAGACTTCGAGACATTGCGACACATCCTTTAATGACGCGTACCTCAAAACTTGAAAACAATAGTATAAAAACAATGCGTGTTGCCATTGATAAAGTGGGTCTAAGATGTGGTCCTTCACTGCTGGAACGAGGAAGTGTAAGGAGTGAGACAGGGGGATGTTATATCCCCTAAACTGTTTACAAATGCACTGGTAGATGTTTTTAAGGCGTTAGACTGGAACGGTCGCGGTATTAACGTAAACGGTGAGTACAACTCACACTTACGCTTTGCTGATTATATCGTCGTCATAGCAGAATCGCTGCAGGAACTTCAGGACATGCTGAACAAACTAAATTAATCCTCCCAACGTGTTCGTCTGTGCATGAATCTGAACAAGACGAAAGTTATGTTCAACCATTACGTCATGGCACTTCCAATTATTGTTGATGGTGAAATTCTCGAAGTTGTTTAGGAATATATATACCTCGGGCAGATATTGCAACTAGGTAAGAATAACTTCGAGAAGGAAACTGATCGGAGGATTTAGTTGGGCTGGGCAGCATTTAGAAAGCTCCGCCTGATTTTCTCGCCGCCCATACCGCAAAGTCTGAAGACAAAAGTTTTCAACCAGTGCGTTCTGCCCGTACTCACTTATGGTGCCAAAACGTGGACACTGACGATACGTCTGCCCCAAAAGCTTAAAGTCGCTCAGCGAGCAATGGAAAGAGCTATGCTCGGAGTTTCTCTGGTAGACAAAATTCGAAATGAAGAAATCCACCGGATAACCAAGATTACTGACATAGCTTTCCGTGTTTGTAAGCTGAAGTGGCAATGGGCTGGTCATCTCTGTCGCGGAAGTGACAACTGGTGGAGTAGATGTGTTATGGAGTGGAGACCGCGTCTAGGCAAATATAGTGTGGGACGCCCCCTGACCAAATGGAGCGACGATCTGCGTAAGGTGGCTGGTAGAAACTGGATGCGTGTAGCCGAAGATCTGGTTAAGTGACGCGCCTTGAGAGAGGCATATGTCCAGAAGTGGACTGCCGCGGGCTGATGATGATGTGTAGAGAGTTGCCAGATGGAGAAAAAATACCCATTTAAAAAAATATTTCAATTTAGTTTTTACGTAGTAGAGCCACGCTGCAGCCATATTATGGTTGTAGCATGAATGGGTCAGCTCGACCGGGAAGGACCACGCTCTCACGGAATACCAGCGTAAAATAGTAGCTTAATACTGCCATGTTTCGTATGGTGAGTGTAGAGATCCGGAGACCCTTTTTTACTGGAAACGAGACATTCTATCTTAGTACTCAGGGGTGACAACGCATCTGCGTTTTGATTTTTTATCGAGAATAAATATAGATGTGGATGAGCCACAGCATCTACTTACAATCAGGTGGACTATGTGCTCGTTTGTCACCCTTATTCTAAATAAATAAAAAGTTTAAGACATTCGTCGCAGTTCTCGGAACCAGAATTTTAAGTTTAATAAAACACATTAAATATAAAACACTTATCCGAAAAATAAAGAATAAATAAAAAATAAAATAAAATCCTAAAGTAGTTTTAATCATATTTACATTTATTAATATTATGATTTATTTACGGTTTCTTAGAACACACCTTTTACTTGGTAAATGTTTTAAAATATTGTTTTTAACTGTAAAAGATTTTGAAATCCCCTTCAATTTAGCTATAGGGGAAAACGAATATTCACATATTTTAAGGCTATATATTTAATGAGAGCTATTTTATATTCTACTCCAGCAAATGCTCTTTTGGTTAATTTAGTGGCGTAAGTAACAAAGCAAAGAAATCTACCTTATGCTATGTATAAAAAACCATTCTCCTTGAAATTTTTACTACAGATTGCACTAGATTTTGATGGATTCCAATTGTTTTTATTTCTACAGTCTCTTATTATTTGCACCGTCATTTTTTCCACACATCATTTGTAGAGGGAAATCTAAAAAATATAAAATTTATAATAGATAGTTTTGTGTCAAGGGACGCCAAAAGTATAAACAGAGGTAGGTAAATGAATAAAGGAACGATTCAAAGTGAACAAAAAGATGCTGATCTCTGATATTTAAGGTAAAGTGCAAATTGAATAACTGGCAACACTGATTAGTATCGTGTTTTGATAAATAAATTGAAGAAGAAACGAGAAATAAGGTGAATTTACTTACTTACTTATGAAAAGTGATCCCCGGCTTTATTTAATGAAACCACTATGGTTTCGACAGTTTTCAACTCATATAATATATAGTTTCGTTTCATAACATTACGCGGGCGCGGCTTGGAGCATAATGGCGGGCGATAGACTTACTATGGTGCGCATGTGTGCATGCTGGCTTGTTTATATCACCAAACTGACTTACTATGGGTGCGTCAGTAATTGTTTTAAGAGACGGCGTCCGCCGTTTTTTACGCCCATGACCTTACTATAGCTAAGTACGTTATGAATTACCTCACACAGCTTCCACACTATTCGAAACATTAGGTACTCATAAAGTAAAAGTAAAGTTACAGCCTATATACGTCCCATTGCTGGGCACAGGCCTCCCCTCATTTCTGAGAGGGTTTTAGGGCAAGGAAGTGTCCGCCGCGCTGCCCCATTGCGTGTTGGCGAACTTCACATGTCTTCGAAATATTTTTTTCTTATTCCTCAGACATGTAGGTTTCCTCACGATGTTTTCCTTCACCGCCGAGCACGTGGTAAATCAGCACTTAAAATTGCATTTAACAATTTCATTGGTGCCGGCGGGGATCGAACCCGGGTTACTCGCATTTTGTTATAATATTTACAGCAAGCGTTAACCATCTGAGCTACCACGGCTCTTATTCGAAACATTACTCATAACCAGTATTAATTATTGTCTTGCTGTTTGGTTATCTGACAACATATTTATCGCTATATAGTTTAAAAGGAAGCTGCCCAACTTTATTTTATTTTAAGTTTAATTATTTGAATATACAAGAAAATTCTTTTGTACACGTCCAGACCGTCAGAACCTCCTGCCGTGCCTCCACACCGTGACACAACTAACAGCCTTAAGACGCGATCCATGGAGAACAGCTTTAATAAAAACAGAAGAAGTAGTAACTTTAAAAGCGGTTCAACGGACAGAAGAACTTTACCAACAGGTAAGATACAGCTGTTTATCGATTTAATACGTTTTGTATGCTTTAAACTAGATATGAAACGGATATCCGGTAACTATCCGCTATTCGGCCTATACGGCCTAAATATACTATCCGGATACCATATTTGAGAAAACACAAAATATAAGATTTAGTTAAGTACTTTATTTATGTCACTTAACAAAATCAGTAATCACAAAATTTTTATTTTAAATTAGTACTCGTACTGCGCTAAAGCACAGAATAAATAATAGAACTACGTAAAGTGCCTAAAGGCAAATTATGGTGAATAAATACTAATTTCTCTGCATTGAAAGGTAACAATTGGATTCGCCTGTTTTCAATAACAAGGCCAGCTTCAGAAAAAAGGCTTACGCTGTACACACAGCTGCAGAGTGCTGAAAGATAGATTTTAGCAAATTTTTGGATAAATTAGGGTATTGTGTAGCTGTATACCTGCCGACCAAATATAAGGGTCACGATCGCGAATAGTTCGCACTGACTTTAATTTTCGCTTCTTGCAATGTACCAAACGGCAATGTTCGGCAGAATATCCGGCGGCCGGATATCCAGCCAAACAGCTATCCGTTTCATCTCTACTTTAAATACTTTTATTCTCTTAATTATCCTCCGTATCGGCACAGAATAATTATAGTACTACGTACAGAAGTTACACTTCTTAGATGTTGTCTACTTGACGACGTTTTAATAACCCTCATAGTTATTATTAATTAGATACGGTACAAATACGGTACGGTAAAAATACACTACTTAAAGTACATTTTAAATATTTATGTAATTTAAAACTGCTGTTGTTTTATTTTAACACAATATCTTAAATTTTAGCGTCATTAAAATAACAGTTATTAAATTTAAGAATTGAAAAAGTGACGAATAATTTTAGTAAATACTGGAAGGGAAAACGGGGTGTTAAAATTAAATTCGTTAATAATTTCAGTAAATTATTTGCTAGTTTTTTCATGATTATGTTTTCATTTGAATTTTAATGACTGTATTTTCAATAATATACATATAAATTACATATATATAATTAAATACATAGACAGTGTTAAAAATCTTTGAAATTCACTAGTACGTTCCTAGACTAAAACGCGCTAGCCCTGACTGCGTTTGTAACCTGAGGTTCCCCGCAATTGTTGATATTTATATTACACAGGTAGCAAGAATGACAGAATCCTGATGCCTGTTTTAAATGAAAAGCAAATGCTTGCAGGACATTTCATATGTTATATTACACGACAGATTATCTTGAACATTTTCTCTTCGCAATTCTTTGAAAAACTCATCAACCTTTATGAGATAGAACCTTATGTGGTAAAACTGCACTGCGAACTAACAAATAGATAAATTGTGTGCTAATTTGTCTTAACTTGAATAAAAAAGCGTCATCTTAACTTGAACAAAGTCTTGCATTCTTTAAATTTGCTGCGAATGTAATTAAAGTTTTGTTACTTTTATTAAAACAACATGTTTGACGTAGATTGTGGTCCATAAAATTTGTCATTAATAATAATTCTAATAAAAAATTAATGTCATTTTTAATTATTTATAACTAAGAATTAATAGCAGAATATTATTTAAATTCAGAAAAAAATGATTTGGAACTGATTGTACATTAACTCAAACACAAAAAGTTAAAATCTAAAACACAACAAATAACGACAAAAAACTTACACTGCTATTTGGCTGCATAAATTGGTAAAAAACTCACACTGCTATTTGGCTGCATAAATTGGTAAAAAACTCACACTGCTATTTGGCTGCATAAATTGGTAAAAAACTCACACTGCTATTTGGCTGCATAAATTGGTAAAAACTCACACTGCTATTTAGCGACATAAAATGGTAAAAAACCTATTCAGACAGACTGCTAGGTAGAAAAGGTGTCCTACCTTGTATAGGGTTTCTAAACACAATAAATTTTAGTTATATTTTGGAATATTTCAGACGTGGGAGCAAGCGGAGCCCGACGACGCACACTTCAGCGTCAGCAACGCGAAACTTCTGCGGGCACTCGAGGACCTTTGCAAACTTCAGCAAGCTTACCCGAGACCCCAGTCTTCGCCCGCGGTTGCGATGTACCTCGGACACCGCCAAGAAACTCCACGGGACCCCCACGTAACAATACAATGAACTCCATGCAGACAATAGGTAACTGTAGTTTCATTTTTAATACATGAAATAAACATATAAGGTGAACTTAGGATCACAAATCATATTTCAACCAAAGATTAACGAATAAGTATAGATGAAACACTATGTTAATTCCAAGTGACGACGAAACGAAAGACGTCGAGTATATCAACTTCTTGACCGCACTCACGCACACATCCTTTCTTCATTCTTTCTTTATAAACCCGTAGGAGAAGTCAACTGCTAGACGCACGCTGCAGCTATGTTATAGTAGTAGCAAGAATGAGTCGCCTGCAACGGCGATCACACTCTCACTGAATACTATCGTGAAATAGCAGCTTAATGTCACTTTGTTTCATATGTAGAGAGTAGAGAACGGAAGACCTTTTTTACTGGAATCGAAGCATTTCATCTTAGTGCTCAAGGAAGACAAAATAGTTTGATTGTTAATCGGAGATAGATGTAGATGGCTGTGGGACACAGCGTCCACTTACCATGGAGTGTTCTGTGTGCTTGATTGCCACCATTATTCAATAAAAAATATTTAAGATCTATGGGGCGTGTATTAAGTGTAATTATTATTAAACATGGTTTTGGCTTGGATTGGGCCTCACTTAAAATGTAGCGTTATATCTTGTCCTTTGTTAAATAAAACTATTTATACGTTGTGTAATTGTATTATAGAATTAACGTCGAGATTTAATTTTTCGGAATATTTCTTTATTAAATCGCTAGTTTTTTTAAGCGTTTTAGTTGTAAGGTCTCTTTTAACCTTTTCCTCATTCCCCCTCCCCCCGTGATCATAGGTGCTTTAAATCACCCGAAACGTCGGGAATTAAAAATAAGTTAATTAAACGCGATAAAATCCGTATAGTGTAATGTGTAATGTTTGCGTAATTTAAGAAATCATTGTCCTTTATTGGTCTTAGATTACAACATTTTTTTTAATGGATTGCCTGTAATTATACTGAGTAAATAGGTAACAGTGTAGTGTGAGCAAAAAAGAAAGCCAACACTTACCTTTATCATAAACAATTCACTTTCAATCAATATTCAATATAACTTCATATTATACATAGATACCGTGTAGTGACGGTATAACAATATCCACCGCCCCGTATCGTCCCGTGGCTGTCGTTAGAGACGACAAAGGGAAACCGAAATAGGAGATGAGCAGCAGCATCTTCCTGATACCGACTCAAAATAGTAAAAAACTGGCGGCGGACTGGAGCGGTTTACAACCCGCTCACCAAGCGTGTCAACTATGCAAAATCCGTCTTATAATGTGCAATCAATGTCGGAGATCTATGTTCACCAGCGGGCTTTTATAGGCTGTAATTGAATGTAATGGAATAAAATATACATAGAGAAACTTCATAATAAGAAGTTCGGTTACTTGAATTATTTTTTTATTGAAGGAGGGAAACGAGCACACAGTCCACCTGATGGTAAGTGGATGCTGTGGCCCATAGACATCTACATTTATCCTCGATTAAGAATCAAAACGCATATGCGTTGTCACTCCTGAGGACTAAGATGGAATGCCTCTTTCCAGTAAAAAGGGTCTCACGATCTCTACACTCACCATACGAAACACAGCAGTATTAAACTGCTATTTTACGCTGGTATTCTGTGATAGCGTGGTCGTTCCCCGGTCGAACCGACCCATTCGTGCTAAAACCATAATATAGCTACAGCGTGGCTCTACCACGTATAAATGTTTTGATGTCTCAATAATGTCTTCGATTTATTTTATTTTCAAACTTAGAAGAGCTTTTCTCAACGATTTCATCCACAAATAATCTGCAGTTTGTGATCAACCACGGACAACCATTACTTAAATCCTCGCGAAAGAACACGATTCTACAAGGATGATACGTATATTGAAATTAAAAGTCCAAATTTCAATAAAACGGTCTACCTCTTGGGATCCTATAATAATAAAATTAAAACTAAACCCAAGCATACCACTGCAAGACCTCAGGACATAGTCAGTTCATTTTGCATAGATCGGACCATAAAAATAATTAAAAAAGCTGAATACTCCGGGTTTAACAATGTCATCGGGACGTCAGCATCTCAGCGCCGAAAATTAAAAATAAAAGTAAAGTAAATAACGCGATAAAATCCAAACGTGTTAATGTGTTCTCTGTATGAGGGATAACAGAATCATCTGTTATGCATTTCGTTAAGCCCTTACTGATGATAACCTGTTTTGTTTAAGGTTAGTTTCATGTCTAGAAGAATTTTTTCTACGAATGTTATAAACAATGTCACCTTCAAAATTGTGACATATTTAATTTAAAAAAGATATTAAAAGCGGTTCACAATAGACAAAAATATCGTTAAACCAACAAATAACCATACAGCTGTCTTAGGAATCTCCTTCTCTTCTTAAGTCGGCTTAAAACACCAATATAATATATAGCAATAACATTTTGTTAATGTGCAGCAAAAAAGAGTTGCAGAGAAAATGGACGGTCTGGAGAATGCCGATTTCGAAAGATTTTTTAATTAGGATTAAGAATTGATCACTTTAGATTCAGACGACAAGAGACCAATAATTATAGACCTATTCCTGATCGTTTAATATTAAATTAAAACTCTTTATTTATTTTACGCATTGTTATAAGAACTTGATTTTGATAATTTATGTGGACTTGCCATTGCGAAGCCACAAGTAGGTAAATTAGTTGATACTGCACTTAGTGTGTCCAGGGTTGAGTTTATAGGAAAATGGACAGCAAATAAGTTTGCTTTGTCATTTGCCGAATAAGCAGCGTCTTATCTGGCTTAACCAACGGTGGTGATGATGGGCGTCAGAGATGAGCTTGGATCAAAATGCTACCCGCAGGATAAGAAATAGCTAAGCTAATATTAATAGTATAGGCTTTCTAAACGCTCTCACCATGCATAATCGTGAAGTTTGCAACTTCCGTAATTACTTCCTGGCGAGATCGGATGATCCATTCTACAAGGACGTCATTTCGTGTGACAAAGGGCTTACCCCTCTCTATACTTAGCCGACGAGCAATGGCAAGACCCAACAATCTCAACGGGTTGCGACGTGGTCGATGAGTCAGTTTGTTTCGGTATTACCGCTATGGGACCTATAGATGCACCCGTAGACGCGCGGATGGTCGTTGCTGTCTACACGTAGCCGAAGGATAGACAGGTCCGAAGCTTCAAGACTGCCGAGGCGTCGAGAACAGATGTCTTCTCTGACATAAACGCAAACTCCAGCCCGAGGCACAAAGGAGTTCCAATTTGTACCCCGGGTAGTAGAGATACGAAGTATCAGCCGGAGAGGACACCTGCGTCTCGGTCAGAAAGATCAAGGTTGGCTTTACCGTCTCCAGATGATAGTGAACGGTGTTTAGATTCGTATGAAGCACCCTGATGTTGCAGAAATCCACGGATAGCATGGTAGGGGTCACCTTGGTCATGTTGCGCAGCATGCCCCGAGTAATTTTTGTCTTGAGCGAAATGCAGATGCAGGGCTTCTACTTTACGCTGGTTTTCTGTGAGGTCATGGTACCACCCTGGTTCGAGCCTGCCCACATATGTACATATTAGGTGCAACAGCAAAAGCTGCCACGTGGCTCTACCGCTATAAAAATCTGGCCGTAGTAAGTATGACATTTGGACGTCGAACACTTCAGTCCCGCCGTGACCATGGGGGCTGTAAAGTGCTCGAAACGTCGGAAATATGAAATAAGTTAATATACACGATAAAATCCGTAAAAACTAGTTTCATATAAATATTTGGATACATTTCTTTAGTGATTTAACAAGGTAAAATCAAATCACTTCTACGTGGAATTACAATGAGTTTTTATTTTAGCAAAAATTAATATCTATTTATTCAAAATAACATAACATACATAAATACATAAACACTCACGCCTGTCACCCAGAGGGGTAGGCAGAGACTACAGACTTCCATTTGGCACGATCCTGACACACCTCTCTTGCCTCCTTCACATCCATACACCTACGCATACATGCTCGTCGGTTAAGGGTACTCTTAATTTGGCCCATTTTCAATAAATCGCCAATTTGGTCGATAAATTTTCGCCTAGGACGTCCCTTTCCGACTCTGCCATTCACTTCTGCACCATAAATTTTCTTTGTCACTCTTTCCTCATTCATTCTTTCCACATGACCAAACCACCGAAGCATTCCTTTCTTAATCCTGGTCACAACATCATCTTGCAAACCACATTCTTCTCTTATTACACAATTTCTTACCCTGTCATTCAGATTCAGCCCTAACATACTCCTTAACGACCGCATTTCTACTGCGTTTATTCTACTCTCGTGCTTCTTCTGCCACACCCAACTTTCACTACCATACGTTAAAGTAGGGACCAACACAGCATTGTGAATTGCCATACGTGCCTTTTTCGACACATTTTGACTCTTCACAATAGAGTGCAAGGCCCCATTTACTCTATTCCCCGCATTCACTCGTCGTTCTATATCCTTATCATATCTCCCATCCCTGCTGAATACGCAGCCCAAATATACAAACTCATCTCCTTGCTCGATCAACTCCCCTTCTATTCTTATTTCACAAATCGTTTTACTTTCTTCTCTTTCAAAAACCATAACCTTCGTCTTACTTGCGTTTACTTTCATACCCCTTTCTTTTAATGATCCGTTCATTAATGTAACCATCATTTGCAACTCGGCCGCCGACGACGCAAGAATAACTTGATCATCTGCGTACAAAAGGCATTTGACGGTTAACTCACTCATTCTTAATCCGCATTCTTCAACTTTCAAATTTTGGAATCAACTGTCCATAAATAGGTTGAACAGCCACGGGGAAGCCACACAGACCTGTCTGACACCTTTATGGATGTCAAACCAGTCCGAGTAGACCCCGTTGATCCTAACACAAGCACTAGAGTCCTTATATAGAGACTCCAATGCCTGTATCAAGCCAGCGCTCAACCCAAATGAGTTCAGTGTTTGCCATAGCACATCCCTATCCACTCTGTCATAGGCCTTTTCCAACTCCATGAACGCACAAAAAACCTTTTGGTTTTTGGCCAGAAACTTCTCCGCGATCATGCGCATGGAAAAGACTTGATCTGTACATCCCATTCCCTTTCTAAATCCCGCTTGCACTTCCCAAATTTTTCCATCAGTTTCTTTCATGACCCTTTCAATCAGTACCTTAGCATACAGTTTTCCCACAATGCTAAGAAGGCTGATGCCACGGTAGTTTTTACAGTCCTGCTGCGACCCTCTTCCCTTATATACTGGGACTATCACGGCTTTGCACCATTCTACCGGTACCCGCTTCAGTTCCCAGCATAAATTAAACAAGGTGTGCAGCAGGCCTGCCACCACTTCCTCTCCAGCCCTTAGGATTTCGAGTGAAACTCTATCATATCCGGCAGCCTTACCTGCTTTCATGCTTTTCATTGCTTTCATTATTTCATCTATACTTATCTCGCTACCTCTTTCCTCTTCTTTCGGTGTTTCTACTTCACTTAGTACACACGTTGTCTCCTCACTCATAAACACGCTTTCAAAATATTCCTTCCATCTCTTTAAACTCAAAACTTCATCATTCAGAATATAGCCATTCTCGTCTCTTATAGCATTCATCATAGGCTGTTTTGAATGTCCCCTGGCAGTTCTTACAATTTTCCAGAACATTTTCATATTTGCCTGGAAGTTATCCGATATTCTTCTATCATTCTTATCCGTTCTTTTTTGCTTTTTTCTTTCAACTACTTCTTTTACTCTCTTATTAAGATGTCTAAAGACTGCCTTTTTTCTTTCAATATCACCATTCGTACCACTAGAATTAGCAGCCTTTGTTGCTAGTAAATCTAGCCATGCTCTCTTCTTTGCTTCAACTTCCATACGTATCTCATCATCCCACCATAGCGTATTATTTTTCCTTTCATTCTTTCTCTTACTAACACCACATACTTCGGTAGCTGCATCCACTAAACTTTTCTTTACATTTTGCCATATATTCTCCAAGTCTAACTCCTTCATACATAATTCATCCAAACCACTTATATTTTCTTTCAGTCTACATTTGAACTTGTTTTTATCACTTTCATCTTGTAACCTTTCTGTTCTAATACGCTGTAACGCAGTGGTAGACACAGACGATCGATGGCGCCAATGCCTGAATAGACCATTAATTCGGCATAAAACTAAATAATGATCCGTTCCTACGTTAGAACCCCGGTAAACTCTCGTATCTACCACTGCGCCCCTCAATCTTTCATCCACAATTATGAAATCTATCATGCTTTAAAATAAGTTTTTAGATTTATCTGATAAATTGACAACACAAAACAGTCGCCTGACAACATCATGTTCAAAGCCTGTAACAATAGCTATTCTTCATAATCTTGATTGTTTTTGTGTGAAAGACAATTCGATGTGATTTATTTACACTAACGTTAACTCATTTTAAGTTCAATTGTAACGTAACAACCATCGAAAAAAACAATATTTCAAAATCATTTGCCTGTAATTCAGTTGTGCCTTGCGATCGTAAGCAGACATTTTTTTTAATTAAGGTAACATTTAAGTGATTTTATAATAATTATTAAAAGTGAAACTAGTGCACCATTTAGATCGTAGTGTGACGAAGTATATATGTGTATATATGTATGTGTAAGAAATCTCTTTATCGATCGAATTCGTGATATATTGAAGATGAGCCGAATCAAAAGTATAATTCACTGCCGAATCGAAATCGATCTAGCTAGGATTTATTTTTAGAAAATGTCTTTTTGTCCGTGTTTTTAGGCAATGAAAAACTGCTACAATATAGTTAGAATAAGAAGATAAATTTTGACAGTTTATTAATGATTACAAATAGCTTTGTATTTTTTTAAATACATAAAAATTTTAATTAAACTAGTTGCACTCATGATTTTTTATTCAAATAACAAGTTCAGTTTTTTCTGTTATGTCGCTAACATCAAAACATATTCGTATTTCATCAGTATGTAATTTGTATCTAAATATAATTTCCAAAACACACGAATTAAAAAAAACCGAGCGAAAAATACCGAGCAAAGCTCGGTCAACCGGGTACTGTATGTTAAATTCTCCAATGATTACTTTTTCCACATCCGAGTCTTATCAACGCTTAGATTTTAATTTCAAAAACATGTATTATGTTACATTACACCTTACAATATTGAATAATTTTCAATAAAATCGTCAATATTGTTTTAATCTAAAATACGAGAACCGTAACATTACACTAAACGAGACCGTAACAACTCACTTAACAGGCTGGCCTCAAAAATCTTCCTAAAATTATCTCAGAATATATATATGAATTAAATAAACATTAGAAGATCTTATATATTATATAGCGTTTATGTCTTATATATTATAAGACATAAACGAGTTCACTTACTTCAAAACGATAGTAAGTGACGAACACGTATTTTTGCAAGAAAATTATTACATTTAACACAGTATTTTTGTACAGTGTTATAGACAAATGTAATGAATTCCTAATTCATTTTCTTAAATATTAAAATTTTTGTGCTTTTTTATTTTTATCAATACTTAATAGGCTTCGTACGGATTTTATTTTGAAATGCTTAAATACTTAACTTATTTAACTCAAATCTATAGTATGGTTTCAAATTAGACAGCAAATCATCCCGGCGTGGCGCACTTAATTTTCTTGTTAAAGAAAACCAAATTTTGTTATTATTATTTTATTCCTTATTGCACCAAAGATTTTGTACAAAAAGCGAGCTTAATACTATATGGCATTCTCTACCAGGTAAACTTGGGGAAAACAGAGAGTTAATGAGTTATGGGCAATAAAGTTGTCATGTTCAAATTCAGTTCAAGTATGTACATGCTACACATACATATTCTATGCAAATATATATATATATATATATATATATATATATATATATATATATATATGTGTGTGTGTGTGTGTTTGTACTTCAATATGTTAAGAGGCTCAGTAGCGCACTGACTGTGTTTTTTCTTTTATAGGATAAGGTGACAAACGAGCACACAGTCCACTTGATGGAAAGTGGTTGCTGTGGCCCATAGACACCTACATGTATCCTCGATTACGAATCACAATACACATGCGTCGTCACCCGTGAGGGCTAAGATGGAATACCTCATTTCCAGTAATAAGGGTCTCCGGTTCTCTACACTCACCATACGAAACACAGCAGCACCAAGCTACTATTTTACGCTGGTATTCTGTGAAAGCGTGGTCCTTCCTCGGTCGAGCCGACCCATTCATGCTTCAACTATACTAATACAACTGCAGCATGGCTCTTCCACGTCTAAAATTCCACGTTTGTTTTTAGAGCTCACCGCGAGTGCAAATCCTGCGAGGTACAAGTTTTATATGGCCTACAAGCTGTGAACCCAAATAAAACATTGCGTTTACTGCCTTGAAATAATCGCTCCGCGTTTGTCAATATGAAATTTATTTATTTAGAACACCTGCATGACACCTGCATGATAACTATACTGAAGAAAATGCTAGTGTGGTGATAACACTTAACTTTTTAAAAAGCAAGAAAAGAAAGAAAAATTCCCACAAGATTTGAAGTATAAAGGCCTTTTAAAATTAAATAAATTCTCTGGACGTGCTCTACACTATCCTACTTTTTTAACTTTACACTTTTTTTGACAGGAAGCAGCGTCACGCTAGGTGGCTACGGTCGAGGCTCAGTGATGGGCGCTACTTCAGGTGTCTGCACAGGAGCTGACCTGTTGCGTATGGGCGGCCCGCCTCGAGGCTGGTATCCTCGTCAACGACATCGGTAAATCTTTAATCACAGTTATTTGCAGTTATTTGCAAAGTAAATACTTATTTTTCAACCCATGCTTGAAAACACAGACTTAAGAATCATACACGTAATTAAATTAAAAATATATCACTGAAGCCTTAACAAGGCTTAACGTGAACCAGAATCTATCTGTAAGTTGTACATTTTGGTATAATTAAAAGAATTCATTAATTCGAAAATAATGTATCGATGTGTCGAAAGCAGCACCGTCACTGGCGATAACTTCGATTAGACATGTTATTTCCCGTTGATACTAACCTTGGCATACCCTGATGAGGATGTGAAGGCGATATATGAGGATATCTCAAGAGTCATATATTCCTCTAAAACTCATTACACGGTGTTAATAGGCTAGGCACGTAGATTACGCACAAGGAAAGATGACCAGCTGAGAACGGGAAACTTTGGTATTGGTGAACGGAACTCAAGGGCGGAACAACTGGCCGATTTCATAGACGGATGGCCGGAGAAGAAATGAAATTGACTTCATTCTGACAAATAAACGGCAACTATTCACTGATGTCTGTGCAGCAGAGTCCAAGGGGGAGGCATTGGCCGTTAGTTAGTTTGAACATAGCGAAGACTTGATCGCATCCAGCGCAGAGCTGTTCGAATCGTCGGTTACCGAGCTCTTTTCGATCGGCTTGATTCACTGGCACTGCGAAGAGATGTTGCATCTCTATGCGTATTTTATCGCATTTACCACGGGAGGGCTCTGAAGAATTATTCAGACTAATTCTAGCCGCACAATTTCGCCATCGCACATCGCGATACCATCCATACCATCTGGATTACTGACTGTCCACGATTCTGCGATTTAAAAGAAGTTTTCTTCTCCGCACAACTTCCTTGTGGAATCGACTACCACCAGAGATTTTTCCGGATTGATAAGACTTAGGGACCTTCAAGAAAAGAGCCTACTCCTTTGCAATTCCCCAGGTGTTGCAGTTGTTTATAGGCGGTAATCACTTAACATCAGGTGAGCCGTATGCTTGTTTGCCCCCTCTCATATAAAAATAAAATAAAAAGATGTCTCGTGATCGCTAAGGTGAAAATCAACAGCGATTAGCGAATAGTTAGAGGTATACTGAATTTTAACATCAAACTAGAGCGATCTCTTCTAATGAAGTTAATGCTCAGACCTCTCCGTGAACTAATCCAGGATACCGATGGTTTTCAGGTCGAGCTACAAAATCATTTTCAGTGCCTAGAAGTTTACTAGAACATGTCAATGATATCAAAGTTCGTGAAAACTTTTCATTCTATTCAACTGTCAACTGAATATTACAATACCCACCGCAACAGACCCTTGAAAACAAAAAAACACTTCAATCACACTCTTAATCTAACAAGAAATGAGACTGCAGTCATCAACTGATACGTCGACCTTCAGGCTATTGAACAGACAGATGTCAAAATGTGTGCGGCAAACATCAGGAAGATCGGTCTGCCTCAATTGACAAAGTTGAAGACCGATAGAAACGGTGTCATTTTCTAGACCCCGGAGATTTTGAGTGGGTGGAAAAGTTTTATGGATAGCTGTACTACACATCGTCGATAGAACCGCACGCAAGTGTGAGTCTCAGTCGGTATACGAACACGAGTAAGAGCACGTATGCTATCCAATAGTAAAGAATTTTTTAAGCTTCTGGACTGCAATGGATACAGTGTTAAAATCAGTGGCGAATACATCACTCACCTTCTACGATATTTTCGATTTTCCGACGATATAGTTATTATGGCAGAATCTCTGAAACCTTAGCACTATGCTCAACGACCTCATTTGGCTGCTGACTGAGTTTCTTGAAGTTGTTGACAAGTACTTGTATGTGTAGGTACCTGGGACAAAATGTCTGATTAGATAAGTCCAATATCAACCAAGAGGTCAACCGACGAATCCCCAACTAAGCTGGGTTGCATTCGGGAAACTGCATCAAATCCGATGTTCCTCAAAATCTTAACACAAAAGTGTACAACCATTGCGTATTACCAGTGATGACTAACGAAACTAAAACGTGGTCCTGCACTACTGGCGGAATAAGGACGCTAAAAGTCATTCAGTGTGCTATGCTCGGAATTAAGCGACGGAATAAAGTCCGTAACAAGAATATACGCAGATGAAGAAGAGTACATGATCAGTAAACTGAAGTGGCAATAGGCCGGCCATGTAGCTCGAAGAACCGACAAACTATGGGGAAGAAAAAGGCCTATGTACAGCAGTGGATAATAGGTTTACTGGGCTGAAACAGTAACGGTAGACACGCCAAACTGTGTCTCCCGATTTTGTTATTATCAGTTTTGTGAATTGACTACCACTGTAAAGCAGATTTAAAAACGTATTCACTTCAACAAGAAGGCAGTCCAAAGAAGAGTCGGTGGATGCAGGTGGCTCAGCCTATAGGGGAGTACAGCGGTGGACTTAAGATGGGCTGTAATAATAGTAATAGTAACGGTGGTAGAGCCACGCGCCAGCGTTTGCTGTTACTCGAAGGGAAGGTACCACGACCTCACAGAATACCAGCGTGAAGTAATAAAATAATTGTTCCTAATTTATTTAAACATTTACATTTATACTAGTGATTTGTCCTGGATTGGCACGGGTGATTTCAGGATCTCGACAACAGCGCCACCTACCGGGTCCAAATGTGAATATAAACCATCTAGGAACCTAGTCAAACACACACAAAAATTTTATCAAAATCGGTTGGATGGTGTCAAAGTCTATAAAGGACATAGGCAGAAACATTTTTTGTGTTTTATATAGATAGATTTACTCGTATTATATACCTATACGATTTCCCGAAATGCCGGTAAATCATCAACTTTCTTTGCATTCATTTGCAGTATATGTACTGCAACATTATGCAACATGCTATCTGGACAGGCAACAACACTTGCCTTTACAAGGCAAGTTCGGTCTCACCGTTCCCATCTCTGGGCCAGGGACGACACAGCTCCTTCCATTTGATTCAAATCGTCGCCGACTGAGTTCTTTCTGATTAGCTTGATTCAGTGGCGCTGCGAAGGGAGGTTCTATCTCTTTGCATTGTCGACCACGGGGAGTGTTCTGAGGAATTGTTCGGATTAACTCCAACCGCCAAATTTCAAGAACGCACATCGCGTAAAAACTCACGATACCATCACTATGCGTTTTACTTGGAGTTTTCTTCCTCGTACACCTCTGTGAAATCGTTTACCACCGGCGATTTTTCCGGATCGATTCGACTTAGGGACCTTCAAGAAAAGAGCTTTCTATAGGGCCGGCAACTCACCTGCAATTCTTCATGGACAGCGGTAGTTACTTACCATCAGGTGTGACGCATGCTCGTTTGCCCCCTCCCCTATAAAAAAATAGTATTAGTATTAGTATATATGTGTATGTGAAATCCGTTAACACGCACTGCAGCTAAGCAGCGCGACGGACAAATAGCTCCGTAATTCTCGGAAATTAAAAGAGCCCCGTGCTCAACCGTAGGACATAATAATATATAGTCGTGCATATTTTATGTTTGCCTAATAGGATTATTGATAAATATTGCACAACGTTGGTTCGCAGTCCACAAAGATAAAGTTCCCTCACGCCTAAGGTGCAGTAGGCAGGACCTAACCCCCAACCCCTTTACTGCACCTTTTAAACTATATTGCAAAAAACTTACACCTGACAGAAATTTTTAAATCAATTAAATAATGTGAAATTATTATTACGTAATGGTTTTGCATTTAGTATTATGAAATGATTTCCTTATTTTTCTTTTAATAATGTTTTAATACATTTGTCAACAGGCCAGCTTCTACGGAGCATCTCGACCGACTGGCAACATCTGCAAAGGTGCCTGCCGATCATCCAGTGCCGTGGGATGGTTCTGGTGCACGTAAACCTTTAACTCTACCGCCCAACTTGACGCCTAAATTCTTCCAGAAGTCACCAAGAGAAGCTCTACGTAGAGTCACGAGCTTATTAATACGAAAAGGTAAGAGTAACTAATGTACAATTCCACAGGTTTGTCTATCGCTTAACTAAATCGTTTCCCAAGATGGCTGCGATTTTTATGCTTTATGCAGATTGCTGTCCATCATGAAGAACCCCGAAAATGGAATGGGTGCAATGGCGTAGCATGGATCTAATACTGAATGTATTATTTATTCTTATAGGGATCAAACCTTGGGAAGACAGTGTACATTTTATCTCTATTTTAAGAACTTTCAACTTTTCTGCCCTACTGTTGCTGTGCAAAAGTGTTCCAATCAGTTACCTTGTAAGAAGCTACCGTAAAAGAAATAGAGCAAAGTTAAAGAATTTGGATTGTAAGAGAGTAACCATATCCAAAACTCTTCTAATTCGTAAAAGAGTTTTGGATATAGTACTCTCTTACATTTTCACCATCTTGGTTAGCTTTCCACCACTAAACACTAATGTAGGTAGGTAACTGAACGAAAATTCTACGTAGAAAGCTGTAGGTAGGCGTCTTCTATAAATCAACAATAATCCAGAAAGATACTAATCCGATTTCGATCCAATCCGAGATCGATGAAACTGCAATATTAACTCAATCCCCCCGTAAATCTCATATGTGATTCGGAGAAAATTAGTTCTATGTTCAAAGCTTAAAATAATACTTAATGTGGTGTTTTGATGCAACATAAAATATATTATACTTTTTATATATAGAAGTAAACTTTACAATACGTCTTTTTACGAGAAAGAAAGGTTATTTAGAGGTTCAAAGGTAGATATGAGAAAATTTTAAATTCTTCAGCAACTTTTTTAAGGAAAATCTCGCTTTAAAACAGAAACCATGTGTTTTTAAGTTCAAATAATATTTGAATACCAAGACCAGTCGACTAACTGTAAGGGACGAAGGAAAAATGTTGAATCGGAAAGCGTTTACAAGCATCTACATGTATACTATAGTTTCGGTTCGGGTACCAGATACTCTCATCGAAGCTACGGAGGCTTACCTTGGTGCGATTTCAGGGAACGGTGACGATATTATCAATAATGGATATTAAATTTTAGGTATTAGCTAGATGTTTTGCTGTTTCTAAATGCATCCATACCGACTTCGTTCATGTATTTTTTTTTTCATTTTGACTAGGTATTTGATTTCGACGAAATTAAACTATTGTGAGCTGTTGTAATGAAGGCTGATATTATTATTTTTTATATTACCGCAGAATAAATAATAATACCAAATGCTTAGCAAGGATATTAGAAGCAAGTGACCGTATACAGGACTTCGCGGATATTTTTTTCATCATGAAAACGACCTACTCGTATAAAAATACAAAACAACAAAACAGCGTACTCTGTGTACGCATGTCAGAAGTTAAACTATAATACTATTGTATTCTGTAGATTATAAGGAATAAATCGACATGCATTTCATTAAGAATCCTTAAAATTTGTGGTGGGAAATAAATTGTCTCCTTTAAAATAGTCGCACTAAAATCTGACGCTCATATTGTTATTATCGTGACGCGGCCTTGAAAAGTTACCCTCATCGCGCGCAAAGAAGTTTCACTTCAAAACTTTCACTTCAAAGAGAGGTAAATGGAAGCTTTTCTATCGTTCACGAAGTTGCATTACCGTACGATCGAACAGAAGAGTGTATGATATGATACGAGCTAAAAAATAAAAAAAATAATTAGTGTAGTCGCATAAAACTTCGCAAGAGAAAATCATTATAAAATGTAAACTAGAGGAAAGTGGTTTCCTAGTTTGGGAAGATATATTAACAAAATTTTAGCTCGTACACCTTTTTCATTTTGGCATTACATTTCATTTCGAGACATAACGTAGTTTGGTAATAAAACATCCTAAGTCTTTTATAAATTTGTAATTTTCTACCTGTCTACAACATTACATTAAGTATAATACTTAAAACCTTAACAATAAAAATCTTATTTCAGATTTTTTTAAATAGTGCCTGTTCATTAAATAAAAGGACAAACCTTTTTCGTTAACCAGGTTGGAATCCTTTACTGCCCAAGAGTCTATCTGGGTAAGTACCATTCTTACCAATTTCTGCCGGCTGTGTTTCGGTCTGAAGAGTAAAGAGAGTAAGTTTAATTACATGTTACCTATAAGGCATACCATCTTAGTCCTCAAAAGTGAAATGCATCTGCAGACTTATTTGTTTGGAGTTGTCTGCAGTGGTCAATGAAATGCAGTAGCCACTTACCGTCAGATAGACTATACGTTCGATTGTCATTTTAGTTTTGTAAAAAAAAAGTAAAAAAAAATACATCAACAACTTTGTATTATTTTATAATTACAAATACAATATTCAAATAACGGATTTAATAATATGATTTAGGTATTATGTTATACATGCAGCTCAGCCATGCAATATATGTGACGTGGGCGAAATCAGTTAACAATGTACATATACTCGTATTAATCATATCTATTTATATAGTGTCGTGTTAGCTGGATCATTCTACTATGATATATGCTTCTGGGGTCTGAAACAATTGTTAGTGTTTTAAAGGCTGTGCAGCCTAAAGGGTTCCCAAATTATATGCGTGAAACAAATATGTGGTTTTATTTCGTACTTATTTTTTCACTACATTCATCACATACTTAAATTTTGAAGTTAGTACTTATGTTGCAACAAAATGATAATAGATGGCAACACTTGTATCAATATCTGCCAGCATTATTGTTGCTACTTGCTAGTTCGTTTGTTTTAGTTTTGATATGCTGTTACTATTACACGTAATATCATCATGTAGTTAAAGTTTATTTTATGATTTGTCTGTACCTTATTCTTAATGATATAATTATAATATTTCTTTTTCATTTTCTTAGTTATTTATTTGTAAATAGTTATAAATCTATTTTCGTACAAACAAACAAAAAACAACTTACGTAAAATGAAACGTAAATATTAAATACCTACTTCAAATTCAACTAATAAGTCGAAGTATTTAGTACTTACGTATCTAAATTTTACTTTTATATCTATAATAGTTGTATATTATTACTATGCATTACCATTACTATTGTACTGTCTGTCTGCGCGTCTCTTTTTCCGAGTGCTTATAACCTTAACCTCTTCAAGGTGCATGTTCACAGGATTCTCCTGGGCAAACTCGCTCCATCGTAGACCTCATCTTTGCCCTCGGGCCAGATGGAGGTCAAGAGTGAGCCCATTTTTAAAATTTAAAAAAAATGACTGTAGCCTCTGTTATAGTAAGTTTAAAGCTATTTAATAAATACATCAAAAGCAATTTATTTCGTTTTGTTACGTTCGTTTATTATTTTTTTACTTACAAACCCCAATTATTAAAATGTATAATTTATATCATAAATAGAACCAAAACTTTCACCTAACATATTAAGTGTTTCGTTCCTACCACCCGGCCATTTTATTCCCTTTTAAAACAACCCCAAAAATCGGGCACGAAATTTAAATGCTACAGCAGTATTTAGGATTTCAAATAGGCGCTTTTATTGTTCCTATCTATATAGTAAACCTACGCATTCGTACGGTGTAACAATACGGCATTAACAATCGTTTACGGGGACCTCAAAAGTTCGACTTCACAATAGACGCGCAGCATACAATGGCGATTCTGTTACCTGCGAGCCTGCGACATCAATATGTGCATAATGGTATGGCATGGCGGCGCTGTGATTCACAGACGTCGCTCACTCGCCCTGCTGTCGACTTGGGCGTGAGTCATCGCTCAACACAAAATCATTTACCACGAAGCATGCCGATATACACCCATACCTATCTCTAACGTGACCATTTATTTTTTGACTCAAAACGGGATATTGGTTTATTTAGGTCATTTAACAGGTACTCCTCAATTAAAAAAAAAACACTTTTTTTTAAAGTTATTTATTTATTATATATATTTATATTAGTTATTTATTCAGAAAAATTCAGTTAGCATAAAAATTACGATACACACAGATCTATACATCTGAAATTTGTAGTTCGTCAAAAACTTCTGCATCTTTATTACAGTCAATACATTCCTTTTTAAGAACTTTTTAACCTGCCCAATAGAATATCTCCATTTCTTTGGTAAGAAAGCAAATTAGTAAGAAAACGGGACAATTTTGCGTCCCAGAGTTCAATTCGGGGACACCGGGACTCGTAACAATAAAAAGGGACAGTTCCGTTCAAAACGGGACGTCTGGTCACGTTACCCATATCCCATGATTAATTAAGACGTGAGAGGAGATAGTTGTGATATCTGACTCGACTGTTATTTATTTCTAGTGACAAATCATTTTCGCGGAACGACTCTGCTCCGCCGGAAACATTGTACTCGACTTTGGTGACCCGAAGTAATTTATTCAAGTAACACGTAGTTTTGATATACGATACCGTTTTTACTGAACATTTTAATTTTACTCAGTATGAGTCTAGTACAAATACCAGCGTAGACGTTAACTGTTACTGCAAAGAGCTCGTATTCGGTCAAACCGGTATTCCAAAGATGGCAACCGGTCAGGCTTTGAGGCCGAGGCGGTCGTACCAGCGCCCTACATACATTTAAAAGCTGTGTGTGTGATAGTAGCCATAATTAAACATGAACATAGGTATTAAGATCTAAGTTACTAAAAGTTAAATCTTTATGTTTACAAATCAACATATTATATCTATATATTTTGAGTTAATTTAGAAATATACCGAATGACATATTTCTTCGACCTTATAAAATGCTTGGAACGTTACCAAAATTCTTTGACCATTCAAAAATAAATACTTAAGTCATAAAGCACGCAGACAACGTGTTGTTCGATTATTTTAGATAACTAAAGTAAGAAAAACTGCAATGATAATGAAATATTGATAAAATATTACATATATATAATATACAAACGAAATTTTAATTTCTTTCTGCCGTCGGAGAACAAAAGATATTCAATTGAATTCAAATAAAAAAAAACAAAAAGGGTCAGACAATTATTTATTAAAATTTATCAAGAAGGGTTCTAAATTTAAAATTA